GAGCAGGGACCCTGACATGGGGCTCAATCCCAGGACCCTGAGATCATGACCTGAGCTGAAAGGCAGATGCTTAACCGACTGAGCCACCCAGGCACCCCAAAAGTAACCATTATTTTAAGTCATCTTTTTGCTGACAAATTGCAACAGAGATAACACGAGTTTATTTGACCTACAGTAAACCTTGGTAGAATAAAAGTTTCATATTTAATGCTGATAACTCTAAAGACATGTCTATCTTAATTAAACCAACAAACTTAGTTTAAATACTGAATTAGGTTCTACCTGGATCTTCTTTTAAAAGTCAGTCAGCTTATTTCCCATTGTCCATTTTTACCTGAGACAGTGGTAGGGAAATCTGAAGTGGGCAGTGTTAGGTCCAGGGGGTCCTCTTCTTAGCTCCTTGACATCGAGGGGAGGAGGAGCCAGTGGTACCAGAGGCATGGAGGATGGTCTAGAAAGAAGCCAGTTATGCAGGCTGCACCCAAGGTTGGGGAGACAGAAGAGGCAAAGTGCTGCCAAAAGGCAGAGACAGGGTTCCTGGGTTCCTGGTTCTAAACCTGGTCAGGTCGGGCAGATGAGCAGATGCCATGTGTTTTTTTGTTTTGTATTTCCACCAAAGTGGAAATAAGCAGTCCATGTCAGCCCGGAGAAGACAGAATTTCACTGAAACAAACAGAGTTTCGGTAGCTGTTTGGGAATATTCCTTAAAGTCCTGTCCCGAGGTGGACTAACCACAATGGGCTCTAATTATAGCCATTAACCCCCAGGAAATGAGAGAGAAGCCCCCACATCTATTAGGATGAACAGTGAGAGAGAGTCAGTGTCCCCTTCATCAGGGATGGCCTGTGTTTCCTCCAGCAACCTGGGTTTATTCAGAGGCCTATTTAGATCATTATCATCCAGTATATCAGGAGGGAGTTCACATTCTGCAAGAGGCCCTTCGGTTGGGGTCCTGATGTGGAGCACCAAAGGACTGGACCTAGGGGGGTACCTCTGTCCATTTGCCCTGTTTCCCGCAGAAGAGATCTGATAGGTCCTGCTGAGGCCATGTAGTGTTACAGGAGATCAATCCTCTTTTAAATTTTGCAATAGGAATGGTTTCCAGTGGGTTAAAATGCATCCCAAGGGAGAATCCTTGGGCCCTGAAGAAGCTCCCCTGCTCCTTGGGAACTGAAGAAGAGAGAAGGTCCATTACCAAAAAGGCTGACTCCCTGGGTGACATCCCACACAGGATATGTCAGAGGTTCCAGGTGTCAAAAGTGAGTGGAGGCGTCCTTCAAATGAAAATTGCTACCTGCCTTGTCATGAAGGCAGACCTGCTGTAAAAGGACCTGTAGGAGGGATGCTAGCATCCCACTTCTCCATTGCATTCTAGGCTACAGATTGGTGCCTGGCATATGGACTGAGCAACCTGCCGTTTTTTGACCCATGGAAATCATTAGAAAAGTTTTACAAGGGAAAATTACCCAATTTTGTAATTTAAGTAGTTAATAGAGAACATTGACGGAAAACAGTAAAGACAGAACTCCACCATGATCTAAGCAATATTCCAACACATGTAGTCTTTACAGCCAACTTCTCTAGGAAACGGTCCCCGGTTGGGTTTTAATTCAATTGGATACTGGTTTCAGCCAGCTCTGGGTGAAAGCCTCATGGCTAGAAGCAGCTAGACCAGAGTTGTGGAGGGGATCACATTAGACCAATGAGGAGGAAACCTCACACGGGAATCTTAGGATCAGCAGCTGTCCTAGTCACTTAGGTGACTGTCCCGTGCCCTAGACAGACAACTCTGTATGAGGATAGGAATAAAAAGAAAGCATCAAGTTTCTGGGTCTTAATACAATCCTGGCCAGAGTACTAACTTCCAGCCAAAAGGCAGGCTTTTTTTCTCCCCATAGAGTAGCCACAGGCTAGAGGACTGCAGCCTGAGCGAGCCATCTGAAAGTGTTCCAGTAAGACCATACTGCTTGAAAAGCCCCTGAAATGAGAGTAAAGGAAGAGTAGAGAAAATACTCAAGTTAGCACCGAGGTTCAGAGTCCAGATGAAAAGACTCAAAGTCCCACATTGGGCGCCAAATGATGTAGTTTCTGAGTAGTGTGGTGTTGGGGTCCTGCCTGAGCCAACAGCCAAGAAGGAATTCTTGAGAGGTCTTTGGTGCAAAAATGGTGGTTTTATTAAAGCATGGGGACAGAACCCCTGGGCAGAAAGAGCTGCTACCCCAGGATTGTGAAGGGCAACTGATTATATACTTTGGGTTGGGGAAACTGAAGCTAAGGGAAGTTCCAAAAGGATTTTCCAATGCTGAAGAAGACTCACAGCATCCTGGAGGCCTTGCCATTGTCAAGCTAAGGTAGTTTTTCCCTCTAGCAAAGCATTAACGTTAAGACAGTTAGGAGTATACTGGAGGAACGTTAAATTCCACCTGCCTCAAGTATTTGTCAGGCTTCAGGTTAGAAGGTATTTAATTTTATCTACATTTCCTTCTGCCTTTGTCCTACATCCCTTTTACATGCCTTTATTATAGCTTAGGGTAAATATTAAGCAGATAGGAGTGGTACTCCCGCTTACATAAGGGGCATAAGTAATAGGGAAGTAACCCAGGCTCAAGCCTTCAGGAACTGAACCTCTGGCAAGAAGCCTGGAAAATAAATAAAAGACACTATGAGTACCCTCTAGGGAGCTTTCTTGTGTCTGCAGTCAGCAGGGGCCCTTCTTGGCCTTCCATGACGCCATTACCTTATCACTGTCACTGCACGTGGCACCTATATTGTATTATAATCACTTTTTTTTTTTAAAGATTTTATTTATTTATTTGACAGAGAGAGAGCACAAGTAGGCAGAGCGGCAGGCAGAGGGAGAGGGAGAAGCAGGCTTCCCGCCGAGCAGGGAGCCCGATGCAGGGCTTGGTCCCAGGACCCTGGGATCATGACCTGAGCCGAAGGCAGACGCTTAACGACTGAGCCACCCAGGCGCCCCTATAATCACCTTTTTTGAGAGTCTTACTTGCCTCACCAGATTCTGAGCTTCTGGAGGTATAAGTGTGCCTGATTCATCCTTGCATCACCAGTACCTGGCACTTAGTAATCTCCCAAGAAATGTTTACAATGGATGAAGGTTAAGTGTGAAGGGGTGTGATCTTTTCCTCCAGCTGGCCAGCTTGGGCCAAGCATCCCCCTTTTCACACCCTCAGAACACCCTCTTCCTTTTGTCCCTGTTTACTGCCACTTCCCCGGGTAGATCAGGTGTGTGTGCCCTGAGCGCAGGGACAGCCGTTTCTGCTGATCAACCCATCCCAGCTGCAGTGGGCCACCCTCAGCCCAAAGGCCACCAAGCAGGATGGGAGAACAGGGACGGGTTCAAAGCTTTGCTAGCCTCCTGTGTCGTGACACTGGTGTTGCTGCTTAGCATCAAAACTAAAATACAGAATCATTTTATTGGCAGTGAACCCCATCTCATCCTGAAGCAACAAGAAGGGGAATGTTTCTGCTCACTGGTCATAAAATCCTAAGCTCCTCATTGTGGCACACTGATTGCAGGTATGAACAACTGTGGAATGAGTAGATTTATTTGTATATATATAACAATATATGCATAATCTAAATGATTAAGTTTATTCGTATTTTCTTAAATTTAGTTAACATTGTTTTGCTTTCTTTTTTATGATGCCTTCTATTTATGGCAGTTAAATGCAGTTTTTTTATGTATGGCAATAAAGTGCTTAATTTTTTTATCTAAATAAGAGTCGATTTAAAGAAAAAAGTAAATGATACAGGTATACGCATATATGACAAAAATTATGAAGCACTATTCAAGTAAGTCAGATTAGCCTTTAGTGGAATAGGGATTGTTGACCAAGATGTGGCTTAGCCTGAGTGAAGTAAGCCAGGGGTCAGCCAGCGTGCTCCACAATCCCTGGACACTGTCTGCAAAAATGATACAGAAGGTGGATTTTCCCTAGGAGAGGATCAGACTTTTTTCTCAAATTGTTAATCTGTGACCCAAACATGATCACAACCTTCACAAACTCCTACAGCTATTCAGCTTTTTGCTCATTCCATTGCTCACCAAGGAATCTTCAGATTCCTCGTTTACTAACAATCCTAATTACAGGTCCCTTAACTAAAGTAAGGCAGTGTTCTGGACAGGAGATTCACCAGGTCTGGTTACAGGAATACAGACCTCACTTAAGATGAATAAACAGACATCTGGTTTCCAAATTAATCTCATGAAATTCATCAGCATGAACCTGTCTCATTTAGTCTGACCCAAGTTTTTTAACTTAAAACAAGAACAACAAACCTTGGATGTGAAGTGTGTCTTTCCTGGCTGACTGCCCCCTCTCTGAGGGCAGGACCTGGGGAGTCCTATTTTGGTGACTTCGCTAGGGCCTACCATAGGGCCGGCCACAGGTGGACAGGACGGAGAAAGGAAATGAAAGCTATTTCCCCACAGGACAGTAGCCACATACAGTGTGACACACACACACACACAGGAGGGGACAACATCCCTATGTGGTGGTATTTCCTTGGGTTACTGAGATGGACAAAGAGTTAACCAAAAAGTGAACAGCAGCATTGTTTTTTTTTTAATTTTTTTTTATTCTTATGTTAATCCCCATACATTACATCATTAGTTTTAGATGAAGTGTTCCGTGATTCATTGTTTGTGCATAACACCCAGTGCTCCATGCAGAATGTGCCCTCCTCAATACCCACCACCAGGCTAACCCATCCTCCCACCCCCCAGCAGCATTGTTTTTAATGAATTTTAGTCCAGAATACAGAGGAAGGCACTAGCTGTTGCCCTGACTTGTTAGTACAAGTGTAAAAAATGGCTTTTTGTTCCCCTATAAAGGCAAGTTACAGAAATCTATCAGATGGACAGAATAAGACATTTGATTTTTTTTTTTTTTTTTTTTTTATTCATGAGAGACAGAGCGAGAGAGAAATGCAGAGGGAGAAGCAGGCTCCCAAGGAGCAGGGAGCCTGATGCGGGACTTGATCCCAGGACCCTGAGATCATAACCCGAGCCGAAGGCAGACGCTTAACCATCTGAGCCACCCAGGCGCCCCAGAATAAGACATTTGAATCTAGTTTTGAAAAATCAGCCTGGAAGCTAGGAGTACTGTTGGCATGTAAAAGGCTTTCCCGGTACTCTTTCCTTCACACCCACCCCCATCTATCAATTAAAGTTCTGATACTTTCTTGATCAAGAGATTTTGTGAGAGAATTTCTCTTTTGAGACTTTTAGTGTGCAAGTGTCATTTTTCTTGGTTTTGCTGCTGATGTCCTTGACCTCCGCTGGGAGTCGGCACAGTTCTTCAGGAGTTCTTCTGAGGCACTTTGACCGTGACCTGTAAGAGGGGAGCAGAGCAGCTGTTAAATCTTCCTGCTTCCCTGCGATCTGTGGGTACTCTCAGCTGGGGTGCTGCCAAGGACGAGCACAAGGGCTTCCTTTACTTCTGATAGCTTGATAGACAGCTGCCCAATCCCAGGGACCCAGCTAGGGCCCTGTTCTGCATGAGAACATTCTCTGCCTCCCCTTAATCCAGTCATTTTTTATTGTCACGGGGCAGAAGAGGGCGGGATTGCTATGGCATCTAGTAGGTAGCAGTCAGGAATGCTGCCCATGGAACGTCCCACGCTGCACAGGACAAACCCCACAACAAAGAATTATACAACCCCAAATGTCAACAGTGCTGAGTTTGAGAGACCCTGACCTACACCCATATTTTCCTCCAAAAGAATCAAAGTAAGGGAAAAAATAACATGCTAAAGCTTACAGGTGTGTCAGTGTGTCAAGTGGGAAGATTCCAGACTCAGATGGATTTGGTTAAATCCCAGCTTTACCCCCTACTGTGCAAGGACTTCACCTCTGTGGGCCTCGATTCCTCATCTGCAGGATGGGATAAAGACAGAATATCCCTCCTGGGGTTGTTGTGAGCACTGATTGAGATAACCTGCATAAGGAAGTCTAACAGATTCTGGCACAAAGTAAGCTCTCAGTAAAGATGAGTTCAAAAGAAGACATTTTCTCAGCAGTCCCCCCTTGCAAACTTGATTTCTTTTCTGGAAAGTTTTTAATCCTATTTTTGTTAGGATTATCACTTGAGTTCCCCAAACTCAACAGCTTACACTTGGATTCCTGCACGAACCACCTCAACTCAAGCCTCCTCTTTTCAGGGTCTCTCTCCCCCTGCCCTCCAGGAAATCCGGATACTGGGACTCCTGGGGCTCAGTCCTAGCACGGCCCCCGCAACACCATACCTAAATAATCTCATCACTGTTTTGATGAACAGTTATAGGCCAGTGTCAGGTTCAAATCTGGATCTTGCCTCTTGTCTGGGACAATTTTATTTATTTTTTAAAAAGGATTTTTTTTTTTTAAAGATTTTATTTATTTGACAGAGAGAACACAAGCAGGGGGAGTGGGAGAGGGAGAAGCAGGCTTCCCGCGGAGCAGGGAGCCCGACACGGGGCTCGATCCCAGGACTCTGGGACCATGACCTGAGCTGAAGGCAGACGCTTAACGACTGAGCCACCCAGGTGCCCTAAAAAGGATTTTATTTATTTGAGAGAGTGAGTGAGAGAGAGAGAGAGCACATGAGCAGGGGCAGAGGGAGCGGGAGACACAGACTCCACTGCTTAGCAGGGAGCCTGACGCAGGGCTCGATCCCAGGATCCTGGGACCATGACCCGAGCAGAAGGCAGAGGCTTAACCGACTGAGCCACCCAGGCACCCCTGGGACAATTTTAAATAAACAAGCGAACAGGTTTATTTTATTCCAGTGAGCTTCTTGAGAACACAGGTTGTGGCTTACCACTGAGTACTGAATGAAGACCACATCCACCCTTCTCACCCTGCTCCCCTGGCTGGTTTGCGTGCCCTGAGCCTTCTCTTCCCCAATCCTGGGAAAGCCCAACTTAGCCCATTACTCTTTTCTTTAAATATCACTAGTGAGTTTGTTGCCTGGTTAAACTGTAATTAGTGTCCATTGTAGAGAAAATTATTTTCACTTTGGTGCCTTTCTTTCCTGTCTTTTCCATAGTTATAAATAAAAGTACCTGAGTATATATATGTACATACAGCCTTTAAATTGGGTTCATACTGCACGTATTACTTTGTATCCTGTCTTTTCACTTTAAAGGATGATCATTTTCCATGTCAAATATCCTACAAAAATATATTTTTAAAGATTTATTTATTTATTTATTTATTTATTTATTTGAGAGAGGGAAAGAGCAGGCCCATGTGGGGGGTGGAGGTGCAGAGGGAGAAAGAGAGAGAATCCTCAAGCAGACTCTGCGCTGAGCATGCAGCCCAACGTGGGGCTTGATCTCACGGCCCTGAGCCAAAACCAAGAGTCAGATGCCCAACCGACTGCACTACCCCTGGCACCCCCTACAAAAATATTTTTAATGGCTACTTAGTAAACCATGATTTGGGTGTTCTATAATTTATTGGGCATTTAGGTGACATTTGACTTTTTCATCTTTGAGAGATAATGCTGTGATGAATATTTATGGAATAATACTTTCTTTGTATTTCTGATTTGTCCTCCAGGCTACATTCCTATCACTGACATTAGGATTTTGGTATATTTATGGCCCTTGGTCTCTAATGCCTCACGGCTTGATTCTTAGTAGAAGCTTTTCCCCACTGCTTCAGCCCACTAGGAACCTCCCTTCTTCTCAAGTCTTACAGAACTTGGCGTATAACAAAGCCTAGCAAAGGACTGTGCAGGCATAGTGGTGGCCAGGTCCCAAGTTATTTCTCATGAGACAGAGCAGAGACTGGGTCCTCACCCTTTTCTGTAGCTTCTGTGGCTTAAAACAAGAAACTAGTAATAAGTACTGATGGAGCCCAGTGTGAGGGAAAGCTGAGAAGGCGCCCATACTCACGGTTTTCACTTCGGTGTATGCCTGCAGCCCATACTCTCCCAGCTCCCGGCCACTCCCAGACATCTTGTAGCCGCCGAATGGGGACTGGGCCCCAAACACATCATAGCAGTTGACCCTATAATATGAAACAAGATTCAGAAGTAACTTGTAGAAGATGTGTGTGTCATACCCCTCCGACCTCCTGAATGGCTCTAAAATATTACTGAGGATAAATGGATAGGT